CCCCCCCCCGCCCCGGCCCAGGCTCGAGCCCGGGGTCTGCGCGCGGCGGGGGCTGCGGAGGAGCCCGAGCGCCCGGCGGTGCGGGGACGTGCGGCGGCGGCGGCGGCGAGACCGAGCGCCCGCGTGCGAGGCAAAGCCGTCCTTATACTGACACCACATGTCTTCGGGGAAAGCTGCAGGCGCGGGACGCTGGGGGGAGACGTGCAGGCGACAGACTGACGGCGGCGGCGGCCGAGGACCCCCCCAGCCCAGAGCGCGGGAGTCCCCAGCCTTGAGGTCACCTCCTTCAAATTCAGGGTCATCCCCGGGGTGGAGAGGGTCCTGACCCTCAGCCTGGGGACTGCGTCATGCTAGCAAGGGGACCCCGTTAACGACCAACCCGTGTGCGGGTGACTAGTTGGTTTAGTCACACCGGATCCTCACTGAGATGAAGCGGTGGGGGCCGGGGGTCCCTCTACGCCCCCAGTGAGGATCCGATTGAGTCCTCAATGGTGAGGCTGAGCCAAGACCCCACTCCAAGGGCCCCTCAGCATCCAGGCTGCCTCCTCACTCCTCATTCACACCTCTGCTTCTTCAGCTTCAAGGTTTGGCTGAAAGGTCGCCTTCACAGGGAGGCTCCCTGGAGGCCTCCCAGATAGGCCACATGCCCTGGGTCCCGATGCGAAGGCCTCCTGCAGCCTCACCACTCCCCTGGGCACAGGAGTGGCAGGCCAGGCTTCTCCAGGAAACTGGCACCACCTTGGCGTCTCCAGACACCTCCCTCCCTCTCTCCCTCCTGGGCTGTGGGCTGAGGGGAGCGGAGTGCCCAAGGTTATGCCTCCCTCATTTGTATGCAGTCAAACAAATTAAAGGCATCAAGATCCTCCCAAATACCGATCAACCACTGGTCAAGTTCCTGCAATCAGGACCCATTTAATGAGCCTCTTTCACGAGCTGGGCACCTCCTGGGGTCCACCTTTGTGGCTCCATTTTACCAATGGAAACTGAGGGCACTGGTGAGCAGCTGGCCAAGGTTCCTCATCTGGGAAGCCACAGCCCCAAATTCGAATTGTGTGCTCCCCCTCCCTGCCAGGGTGTCTTCTCCACAGTAGGCCACCCCACTCAGCCCTCCTGCCTACTTGGAGAACAAGATGGGGACACTTGGGGGGGTTGCAGTTGGAGGGAAAGGGTGCTGAGACTGTCCTGGGGCCACCTGTCCTGGCAGACAGGCACAGCTTTGGGGGAAGGTGCGCTCTGGTTTGATCTGGACCCTGTCACTTCCAGACTGAGGGTGGTGAGCAAGCTCCAGGCCATCGCTGAGCCTGGGGGCCTTCATATGTGAAAGAGGGCCTAAAAGTTCACACTTTCCAGCCTGCAAAGTCTCTAAAGGATTCAGCACATAGTAGTTACTCAACAAATCCTCATCTTCACCTGCCTTTTCGTCTGTCCAGGGAGACGAGCCTTTGTAAGGAGGCCAGCATGCAAGGTTGTACTAAACTAGGGGGTGTCCTACAGGTATCAATGGAGCAGACTAAATGGTGTTCCCAGGGCGGGTGGATTGATTTCAGGTCACAGTGGGCTTCCAGAGGCCTCATCAGAATGAGTCACTTGAACTCGGCCTTGAAGGCTCCCAGGGTTGAGTAAGAGGGGAGGAGGTAGTAGAACAGTGGCATGGAGGAGGGAGAGGCGGGAAGCAGAAACCAGATGGTGCAGGACAGGTACAAGCAGCCCCAACAGCTGGATACACAGCTGGAAAGCCCCAGGCCTGGAAGGTGAAAGAAATCAGGCTGCAGGGCAGGGGAAGATATCAACTACCACTCAGTTCCTTTCCATTCTCCTCTGGCCGCATTCTCATGAAATTCACAAAACTCTTCAGGACCTGGAGAGGCCACCGGATGGTGAGGTCTCTGGTCTGGGTTTCTGAAGGGAAAGTGGCTGTCCTGCCCCCTGCCTGCACTCCCAGGGAGACACAGGGCTCACTTCCTATTTGGGTGGCTCCTTTGCTCTCTGGGCATCTCTAATCATTCAGACTTTTTTGTACTTGAGCAGAAATTTGCCCCCTTCCATCATCCTAGCCTCTCTCCCACCCCCACCTCCTTCGAGCATCTGCCCTGGCAGGAAGTCCTGCTTTACATCTAGGCTAAGTGCTTTCTGCCTCAGCAAAAGCCTTAATTGTCCACTCTGTGTACCCTCCCTACCCCCAGAACAGTGAGTGTGTCCCGGGGATGCAGAAGCTGTGGAACAGATGACATGCCGGGGACGACCTGGGGATGAGAGGACCCTCAAGCCCACCCAAGGGACAGGAGTGGGACTCCATGTCTCGGCATGAATCATGGCTGGGCTGTCCCTCCCAGAAGCCCTGGCTGGCTGCAGTGGCTTCATTTATTCATTATTGCTATTTATATTGTTCCTGGTATTTGCCCCACTGGCCACCTGCACAGGCTCCCTGGGCCCAGTGTGCCCAGGTAGCAGGAGTGGGTGAGTGGTCCTCAGCCCAGAATACCTGCATGCATCCCCCAGCAACTGAGCTGGCCCTGTCACCTCCCACCCCTGGACAAGGTCCAGCCTGAGCTGTACCCCAGCAGCTGCAGGGAAGAGCAGGCGTCCTTACCCCCACCCACAGAACTTTGTTGCAACTGTAGTGCCTGGCAGGCAGGGACCATCCATCACTGGTGATAAATAAACAAGCTGGGGCTGCAGGAAGCTGGGGCAGGATTCCTGTCTGCCCTGGGATGTGTAGTCAGGTCTCTTCCAGCCCTCCAGACCCCAGATAAGAGCACAATTTCCTCAATGATTTATTTTTCAAAGGCTCACAGATCATTTTCTGTGCCTGACCCTTGTGTAAGCCCTTGACAAATACTAACGCTTTTAATCCTTATCATAATCTTGTAAAATCATTGCTTCTGTTTTACAGATGAGGAACCATTGGCACAGAGAGGCTAAGTAACTCCTCAAGATGACACAGCTGATCAGTGACAGAGCTAGGATTTGAATTTAGATGGTCTCGCTCTTAACTGGGATTCTGGCTCCCAAGACTCAAAAGCTCTAGGAAACAAGGTTTACATTCCAAACAGAGTGGCTCCACCAACTGAAGGAGGGAGAAGCCTGACCGAGGTACCCTCCTGTGGGCCACCAGTCCCATCAGTGCACTGTCCTACAGGGTGTGCACAGCAGTCACTCTCACTGGCCCTGCTCGGGCCCCAGGTCCCCGATGGTCCTCTGGGCAGCACTGTGCCCTGAATACCCACCATCCAGGCTGGACAGGAGCTCTGGTCCCCAGGTAGCCCCACCCTTGTAGGAGCTGGGGACCTGAGAAACCAATGACAGAAAGCCAACTTGAACACTCCCAAAACATTGGCTGGGCACCTACCGGGTACCAGGCCCAGCCCAGGGCTGGAGATTCCCAGGTGGAAAAGTCAAAGGGCTGACTGTGTGAAGTCAGAGGAGGTTTGCAGTGAGATGCAGAGGAGACTGGGCCCGGCGCTGGGCTTCCTGGGTATGACAAGGCAGGCTGAACCCTGATACCTGCAGGCACCTTGATGGACTTGGAGAGACCCAGGGACCCCAGAGCCCAGTCTGGTGGGCAATGGCTGGAGGGCTGTGCCTTGGTCATGCAGAGTGAAGAACTGGAAAGTTCGAAGAGAAGTGAGTGGAGAGTGATAGAGGACCAGAAAGGAGACTGCAAGATGTGGAGGCTGGATCCCACAGACTGGGGACACACTTGGAGAGGGTCCCCCTGAAGGGACAAGGACCTCAACATAAAGTCATTTACATGGTTGCAGTTAGGTCCCTTCCCTTCCACATCCCTAAGCAAGTCTGCTGAACACCCAGGGCCTCTGTGCCACAGGGATTTCCTATGTGTGGTGCCAGGATAGGAGATGAGTCTCCCTCAGAGTGACACAGACAAGTTGACAGCCCCAACTGCACCCAGCCAGCAGAGGCAAAATTCCAAGCCAGGGGGGCCCAGGACTACACTGGCATCCCCAGGACGACACTGGCATCCCCAGGTTCACCACATGCACAGGGGTCACATCCAGGCAGGCAGGGTGAGGTGTGGCCGCCCTGTCTGGTGTGGCCGGCCTGTCTGGCAGGGACCGCTCCTCCTCGCTGGCAGGTGCCCACTTGCTATGTTTGCCCACCTAACTTCCCAACTGTCCAAGGTGATGGGGTTGTGAACCTCCCTTTACAGCCCAGAAAGCCAGAATCCGAAGAAATTAAGTGAATCGCCCAGGGTCACATTTCTAATGAGCAGCAGAAACCGGAGTCTGTCCTGAAGTGGGTGAGGAGAGAGAGAGAGAGAGAGATCTCCCACCTACCCAGGATGCCCAGAACAGAAGGCTGGAAGCAGAGAAAGGGCAAATGGGGACAAAAGTCAGGAACCTCAGGTCCCCCCAGGTGGGCAGGCCCTGACTGTCCTCCAGAAGAGGTAATTAGTTTCCTGGAAGCTTCCTAGATAGGTGAGGCTCAACACTTCCTGGGTAGACACATCTGGAAAGGGCTGATTGATGCCAACAGTCTGCAGCTGGCCAAAGGGGTGGCAGTGTGACTGTCAGAAAGGAGAGGCCCAGGGGAGCACTGCCCAGACCCCCATGCTGGCAGAAACACCAGAAGCCCCCCTCACATCTGACTGTCACCTGACAGCACACCAACTGCCTTGTGCCTCTCAGCGTTGTGGCCTCCAACCCACAGT